TGGACACGTATTCAGAGGTAATCAGCGTCTCGTTAGTAATGGACATCGTGCGCGCGCTCATGTCTAATGAAGGAAGTTCAACCCCCCTCTGGTGCCTAGTATGAGGCGCGTCAATTTTCCGGCCCTTCAATCCTTTTTCTGCTTCTGGATACCGCATAGCATTTTTCCTTGTTTATTGAGGGTATATAGGGTCGTACCTCAGTCACCCAGGATTTCCAGGTGTTTGGTCACATAAGTTATGCTTATAAGTAGGTGGCGAATGTGCTTCAAAATAAACACCCATCAGCAACTAACCGTTGTGATAAGCTGCGCCCGCAGGCTAATGTCCCAGAGACCCCGAAGCTGAATGCCTGCTATCTCTACACGTTGAAGTTTAACGAGCCTGATACTGATCCTAGCATGCAGGATGTTCGAGTAGAGAAACACTCATGATCCATCTGTCAAGTGTTCTTTGGACGTGTGCATGATGAAGGGATAACTGAATGTACGTCACAAAGACTAGTGTGTGTGCGCAATGTCAATGGTAATGGGTTGTGCGTCAGCTGAAAAGTAAAATTTTGCAAAGGATGAATCTCGTAGGAACATATTTGGAAGCTGCAAACGCGATGCAGATGCAGTACTCCCCCACGTTTCAAAGAGTTTTGCAGCCAAGCGATCTACCAAGCTTTGTATTCTGCTCACCAGGACTAACCCACATCAATTTTACCGCAGAGGCTGTATTGCAAAAGCTGACTTCTCTACGCAAACACAGCTCGCCGGGTGTCGACACGATTCGTCCAGAGGCATTGGGAGCAGCAGCAAGCAAACTGGCAGGACCTTTAGCTCAGTTTTTCCAGCACTGCTTAGACCAGAACCAAGTTGCCGCCATGTGGATGCTTGGAATAATAAGCCCGATTCACAAAGGGGGAAGCAGAACTGATCCCTCCAACTACCGTCCAGTAACCCTTCTTCTTATACTCTCCAAGGTCATGGAATCCACAGTTGCCAATGCAGTGGTGTGCTATCTGGCAAACTGCAAAATCATCACCTCTGAACAGCACGGTTTCCGTCGACAGCGGTCATGTACAACGAATTTACTAATTGCACGTAGTAGTTGGACCGAGGCAGCCGACGCTGAAGAAGGTGTTGATGTGATCTACCAGGATTTTTCCAAGGCTTTCGATCGTCTATACCATCGGATAATACTATCCAAGCTGCAGCATTACGGGATCGGTGACCCTCTTTTAATCTGGATCGCCAACTTTCTATTTCAATTAGTGCTCAGAGGTTAGAGTTCTTTATCGGATCCCATACAAGTCGAGTGTGGTTTGCAGCAAGGCTCGGTTTTAGGTCCACGTTTGCTTTTGGGGTTTATTAATGACCTTGCACAGGGAATCGCTTCAAACTTCCTAATGTTTGCCGAAGATATCAAGATCTGGCGCAGGATCCAGGCGAACACCGACCAACATGTGCTTCAGATTAATTTAGATACGATGTATCAGGTCTTTTTAGGCTGCATAAAATTCATTCCACTTTATTTGTTTTTTCTGCCTACCTGAATAATTTCCTATTCACTGGCCAAGTTACTTATGCTAACTGTGCAAACCTTCGGCAATTTTGTTGTGTTTGTAGCATTTTTAAGTAACTTGTGGACATTTCTTACTTATCGTGTATTCGTTGCTAACCAAATTCATATGGTAATTTAGGGAAGAGTTATGCCACCGTATCTATTTGCATTATTGGATTTAGTTTATTTCAGCTTATCGTTTAAAGTGCATGGCTGTTGCTTGATATCCCCGGTGTGACTGCGCTTGATGTACATGTTGACAAGATGCCTACCTGTCTATTACCCACTACCTCGTTCGTACTGGCTCCGGGAGACAGTTGGTCGTTGCTAGAGGGGACGGGGTGCACGGACCTTGTGGCCGTGCTACGCTCGAAGACTGGTTCCATGTACTCAGTGTGGAGCGGACTACGGTCCAGCCACCGCCTTGTGTGCGGTTGATTCCCCAAATACAACGTGCTTGTGTTTGGCTGTGAAGGAGTGTGGGTCGGCTCCGTTGATGAAACGTGGCTCCCATCCACATGCCTCCCGGTTTTATTCCTTCGGGTTTACACTGGATATGGGGTGTGTGGTTGGAGCTGTGGGTGGTGCAGCGCAAGCCACCCATGGTCTTTGTGTAGGCGCAGGCTTCCTGTGTCTGGCCACAGTGACAGGCAAATCCGAAACCGGATGCCGCCAGCCATCAATGGTCGACCCAAAACTTATTGCATTTCAACGTCAGTAAATGCAAGGTGCTTTCCATCCGATATCATAGCAGCTACTCATAACGACTCGGAACGGATGTACTGCAACAATCAAATCTCGAACGTGACTTGAGTGTCCTGGTTCAAGATGACTTGGGTTGCTCCAAGCAATCCGAAAAGGCCTCGAAGACCGGGAACCAACACGTCGGGCTGTTGAGGCGGGCGTTTGGACAAATAAACAGCTCCATATTTCGACAAATGCTCAGTGCGTATGTTCGCCCCCAAGTCGAATATGCAATTCAAGCCTGGCATCCATGGCTGAAACACGACCTTAATGCACTGGAGCAGCCACAACGCCGGGCATCTAAGAACGTAATTGGAATGCGCAATCTTTCCTACCAGGAGAGGCTGCGACGATTTGGATTGTTCAGTGGAAGCTATCGCAGACTACGAGGCGACCTGATTATGGCATACTTGATTCTGCGAGACCCACATCTTGTGTGCCGCCCTTTACTGAAACTCAGCAGTAATACAAACCTGAGGGGCCACTCATTAAAAGTCGCAGAACAATACAGTCGTCTGGAGTGCCGCAGAAATGTCTTTTCCATTCGTGTCTGTCACCCGTGGAATGCTTTCCGGAATCGGTCGTCTCTGCACCGACACTAACAATATTTAAAAGACGGTTGGACGATGCACTCATCCACTTACACTTTGTTACTTAACACTATGTCTCCATCCTACACCTGGAGTTTACCCTGGAATTATTTGTTGTTAACTGTGGGTGTTGTGAATCTAAGTGGATCGCAGGACTGCAGCGAAGCAAACGATAAGTCCTTATTTTCGTATTTAAGGTATTAACTATTTTACTATCCTTTTCATCATAATTGTTATGTTGATATCCCCACCAACTATCCAACGGGACTTGTAAAGCAACGCTTCTTAACCCGTATAAATTCATTGTTCATTGTTCAATTCTTTAATGGATGAGAAATACGTAGCAATTAGTAAGGATAATTTTTTAGTATAACCCATAGTTAGAAACCTATTTCGGCTGCTTCAAAGTTTTCCTTCACACTAGCTAACAAGCTAGAAAATATCCATGTCATGTCACAATAAGGTTCGCTGTTGGTCACCTTCACTTTCTTTCCGTAGACAATGGTTCATGCAGAGCGCCGTTTGGTGCACGTCGCCTAACCGGCTCCCAGTAAGTTGAGCAACTTAGGGGAAGCTCAAACATTGAGCTTATGGTTCCGATAATTTTTTGTAGTGTTGTGCCCCATATCTGGAAAATGTGACCAACTGGGATCTTCAGGACGTGTGCATATTGAGTTCATTCACGTTTTCTTCCACTTTCGGTTTGGTGGTAGGAGCGCTGTAATTGAATGAATTGGTTGAACAATAACACTGCATGAGTTCTTACACGAGGGAACAGGTGCACCAACCCGATAGGGATTAATACTGAGCTAAACCAACAGCCCTGCTTTGGTATAAAAAGGTCTTACGCACTCATCCTTCAATTAATTCAATTCAACATGCCCCTGAGAACGCTAGCGATATTGGTGCTCTGTAAGTACAGTAAGGTTTTCCGTTCAGTTAATCAAAGCACGCTCATGAAAATGTATCGCCCCACTAAGTTACCACGCCAGCATACGAATGGATTTTAACGTACTTTAACAGTTCGGCTGCTTGTGAAGCAATTAGTGCATGTGACTGAGAATTTGCACTCGGTTCGCGTATGTCATTATGTGCGTAAACATAACTGAGCGAGATGCAGAAACAATTATGCTAAAGTCATTGCTACATTAGTATAGCTACACCTCGCCGCATGCATCAAAATAATACTGTCGAGTAATAACCAGATTAGAATACGATGTAGAATGCTAACGTAACCGAAGCTTTATATGAAGCACCTAAAGGAAACAATGGATTGGTCTTATATTTTTTATTTCTATTGAGATATTATGATGGGAAAACAACTTAAGAAAAATATGTCGACTATAACGTTTATAATATGCCGCTCGAATACGATTGTTAGATAATCAATTGTTTTAAACAAGTTAATATTATGGAATTCTCAATTGTACCTCGCGGTAGAATGAAGGTTTGTCTATTGAACTTGCTGATAAATATTATGAGGGATCATTCTTATTCGAACTTTGACGACAGCCATGATCAGCATTGTCGCTGCAAACGCACAGAAACGGCGCGAAAGACGGGAACCTGATTGAAACTTAGTTAACGCACTGAAAACGTTGTCTAGTGTGAAGCCCAGTCAAGGTGGTTATTGTCAGTGTACACAAGTTACTATAGCAACCGGAGTAACCAGTGATGGTATTGCTAATCCTACGACTACAATAGCTTTCTAACCTAAATAAAACGTTTGTTTATAGTGGCACATGTAGTAGTAACATTTTTATCAGGTAAAATCCATAGAATTTATTTAACATTGCATAGAATTTTGAAAATTTCATGGATTAATATCATTAACCGTCATTTGTACTTTCTATAGGGATCACCGCTTCACGTTGTCAGAAAGCATTTGAAAATGGTAAGTACTTTGCTCTTTACAGTATCTATATTTTGCTTCAGAACAGAATAAGTACCGTTACTTAACTCTTTTTCACGTCGAACAACTAGTGTCAATGCTTTTTTATCCGCTTTATTGAAATTCACTAAACTGATTAATAAACATCTTAACATAGATAACTCGTAGCCATGTGATTAAAACGTATCTAACATTTTCCATATTTTTCTGTGTGCAAGATTTTGAAGTAATGGGATATATTCTTAAACTCCGTGAGGAAATGCTATGGGTGGACCAGTTGGGAGCTCAAGGCAACCCGGAAGCAGCCAAAATAAAAGAGGACGTATGTAATAGGGTGAGTGGCATTGACAAAGATATATTTGTTCAATTTATTGACCTTAATAGCACCAAGATAAAGCTAGCCATACTTATGTTCGAATAGTTGCGAATGCAAATGTTTGACTTAGAAATGGAACCTACATTGAATCTGTATACTTGCAATGTTTCTATAGCTGTTCGTTTGTTCGTGTGATAACCTCTTGCAATATTTCTATGCAGATAACAAAAGCGATGATCTCCCTTGAAGGTGTACAACCAAGTGATGTGAACTGCACGGTGGTATCTCTAATTGGTCACCCTAGTCGAGCACATTTGGACATTTCTTTCAATGATAAAGGACGGTCGGTCGTCGTCAATGAACTGGTGGAACAATTATTTAAATTGTTTGACAGTATAACCCAGAAGACTAAGGATCAAAGGGGACCTGTGGCCGGTGAAGTAAAACAACATGTTGGTAAGTTTTAATTTGGCGAGGAGTTGAATTTGTTAGACAATACGAGATTATGCCGGGATGTTGCAGTGCTGTCAGTCAAGTTCCCGACCATCTGCTATGCAAGGGTCCGGGTTTGCCCATGAAACTCTAGATCCAAGTAAAAAGCAGATAAGCTAAATAAGAAGTGATCCTAAATTGCCTAGAGAAAATATCATATTCGTGCACTTAATCACATTTTGTAATATTGGTTGACTATTTTCTTCTATTCATTGCAGTTAGAGGAGAAGGCACCGAGCAAGCGAGTAAGAAAGAATGCAACGTTATTTATGTATAAACCCAAGTTGATTTTTGTTGAACAATAGGTTGCGGGACCGGTGAGGAAACATGGTCGAGCATAATTTCTATCAAATATTTGCAAGAGTTCAAATAACCTGACCTCAGATTGTAGTTGAAGCCTTCTGAGGTCATAGCCAAAACAGTAAAATTCATAGGATTATCTTCATTAAGCTGATGGTAGATATTTCCAAGAGTTTCATGATTGATTAACAAAAAATTCACAAATCTAGCGAAGGAACTAAAAACGAAATAAGAAAGGATTTCTACGGAAAACGCAATAGACTACTAGCTATACAAACAACGCAAACCACCGCTGAGTCCAATAATCGCTAATGTAAACTGTTGCTTTCGAAAGCCTTGCAACATCGTAATGTTATTCTAATCTATTTACACTTACAAGTTCAAGTTTATTTCATAAGTTGGCGTTCTTGGTTTGTTTGAAGTTGGAAAATTGTCATCGTAGCATTATTATGACCATTGCAGATATCCACTTTGTCGTTTCTGTCTTCGAAAATGGCCAATTCAGTGAATGGCGCAGTGCCTATGATAATCCAGAAGTACTAAAGAAGATCGAAAATACTATCTGTCCTGAGGTAGGTGAACTGTAATCCATCATTTTTGACCATTATATGTTATGTTTATTTATAACGGCCTTGCCTTGAATATAACTGATTGCTGGCTACTTCACACGACACATGGTGATCCAATTCATGTGGACACAAATTGAATTGTGTCCCTAACATCGTTAGTGAGAAAGTTCGGAATATTATATTTATACGCGTTCTTCTCAGCCCTGTAGTCGAAAAATGCTTAATTTCATTGAATGCAATTGTAAGCCTTCTATATACCTCATTATTAGAGCTTTATGTGATAGTCATTGAGATAGTAGTATATTGGATTAACTAAGCGTGCTGGAATAAGGGTAAAACAAGTGTTGAGCATTGTTGATTGTCGCCATTATGTACTCATTTAGAATGCCTACTGAAGTATATGTATTGCCTTGCGTGGGCAAGGCATGTTACGAAGTGACCGCAGTTGTCCGTTTCAGCCCCTAAAATTATGAACTATCTGCTGATAAAAGACATCCTTTTGGTAGCAGAGTATAGTATGTATGAACCATCATAAAACTGGAGAATCCCGGTAACTTGCTAAGTATGTAATGACCTATTTACTGGGCACAGGCCAATAATCCAATTAAGTAGGTCTCATTGTATGTGAGCGTAAAAGCCCAGCTTCCGGGAAGTTCTAGAAATTTTTCTTTGCACGTTGTTTGCAATAACCTAACACTCTCGAGCTAATCGTTGTTCACTTGATAATTTACAGTAAGAAGAGTTTAAGCATGTGAAATTAACATTAGGTCCATTACAGCGCAATCGCCTACCCTAAAATAGTCACCTGATAACCGTGCAACCTTCTAAGCGACTTTAATCAAATCGCTTTCACTGTAGTTAGTAAGTTCCACGAGGGCGTATAATTGGCAATAAAAACAATCATGAACACCAGGGTATATTTGAGTAAGAAGACTAGCTGTTGTCTAATATTACTCTGGTTGGGTGGAAAACTAACACATATCGTATGCTCCAAATGAGACCGATTGCAACCAAAGCCTCTTTTTGTCGGTATACTAAAAAATGTAAGATACACTCGTTGGCTTAGTACCTTCGGTTTCAGCGTTAAACATGCGCCGAATTCTAAAGGTTTAGGTAGTAAGTAATAAGACTGATATTTTGCTGTCGTACAAAACCTTCTTTGAAATCACAGCAGTATTTGCTTAAAACATCTAATTGCATAATGTGCGCGGAGAAGAATGAAACCACATTCCCGTGCTGTTCGGGCGGGTTTAGGTACCCTCTTATATCCAAGTGTAAATACCAATAAACGTCAACTAAATCTACTTACATTTCCTCTGCGATATCGGCTAATAAATATGTGAAAGGCAACTGTAGTAGGCTGAAAAAGATACACCCAAAATTTGACATAGTTTCCTGGATTATCAGGCGGCAAAAATCGTGCAATGGCGTTTCATCTAGCAACTCATTTACCATGTGATTTGCATACCGAATTATGTGTTGGGTAGATAAATATTAGGTGTTAACTCCACTTACACTCGTTTACCCTCATCATACACATATATTAATGCTGCGACTCCAACCAGAATCTTCTAGTATGCGCTGAAACATCTGTCCATATACTATTGTGCCCGGGCCGGAAACGTTTGTCACAATGGTTATCGCGAATGAGGAAGCTAATCGCAATCTATCCATCCAAGCAATGCTTCCAAATGGCCTACTAGACCGTCTTAAAATTGTATATTAACTAACCACTTAGGTAGTGTGTAGAAATGGAAAATTCAAGTAAACAAACTAGTTTGTCGTTACACGTGCATCAATGTTAATTTTAAAATGTTGGAAAGCCAACATATTTTAGAAAGCAACATTTGCCCATTCGTTTAGTTTAAAAACTATGTACAATAAGAAAACCTAAAGCCTGCTCAGACGTTTAACCAAGGCTGCTAACTGTTTACTTGTTCAAAACAGGATTTGTAGTTATAGCAACAGAATTACTTCAACATTTGAACTCGCTGCGTTGACCGAAAACGACTTATGATTTTTGGACTTACTTTATCAATGTAGTAGCTACTACAATACTAATTCGTTGTGGCCATTGAATACATTATTTGCATTTTATGAAGTCACTAATATGGACAAATTCTAGCTTCGAATGCAGTCTAAAAACACGCACTTTCCTAACTCTTCTATAAGGTTTAACTGAATTTGACCCCCATCAATTTATAACTTATCTGGTCATGCCTAAGTTTGGAGATTACGAAGAAGATTGCGATGTCGTCAGTTATTAAAATACTCTGATTATGGGTCACTGGTCATCGATGTGATAAAACTGCAGCGTATGTGAGGTTTACTACGTATCACAAATATCAGTATGCTACCATTTAAATTGGGCCGTTGATTTAACCCGTATGAGTAAGTAAAGAATGGTTCTTTTACCCGTTTTACCAAAGCCATTGTTGACTAAGTAATATTCTAGTATTGCTACAGTCGATCGCCGTAGGTGTGAGTAGGCGAGGAAACCTGTTCAATTTCCCATGTAACTTTCAGCAGTGTGAGGCATTGTTGCACCGAGCGCACAAAAGCATGTGGCACGTCAAAGTTATAGTGCTCACAGGATTCCGTCTGACAGGTACTCTAACAGTCAAAAGTATTTGATAAAATATTTCCGCACGAATTTTTAAAGTAGTTCTATAATATGCCGATGAAATAAACACCATACATCGAAATACGACGAGATCCTGTATTACTGCATGGAACTGAAAAACCCCTGTACTACAGTTATCAAATACAGTACGACATTCTTGAGGTAATTACTACTTCTGAAATGTTGGGTTGTCGACTGACGACCGAATAAGCGCAATTCTTAGGCATATTCACAGAATATAGCTTAGAGTTCCTATACCGCTTTCTGGGATCTACATATGAAGTTTAGTTATTTGTGCGTATGCACAACTTCATTAATGATCTCTGCTTGTTCTACAAGAAGAAGTAAAATAAGAAGTACTAAATATAATTTACGCATGTGCAAAAAGCTGTTAGGATAATACGGACAAATATCCACCCAGTTCTGATCGTACTGACGTATGAGTCAGAAATGCATTCACTAGCATCTTTGTTATTCTGCTATTCACAGATTTGTTGGGGCTGAATTTTGTGAGACAACTGTCGATTGTTGAGCTAACTTGTAAGAACTGCTTTGATGATTTTTTCAACGTACTCAAAGGAACTGATGTGTTCTGTTCCAGCAAATTTCCAACAGTAGTGCGAAAGTTTTGTGCATTAGCAGAATTGCTGATAGCGGCTGATAGGCTATCCCATAGGTCAGCGTATCTGACGAAGGAAAAGTCAAAAAGAGAAGGTTTCCTGATTCTCTACACTAAATGTTTCTACAGATGGTTGCGAATTCTCAGCCAGAAATGATGCTAGAGTTCCAGTGTCTACAGATTGCGATATGAAAGTTGGTTTATAACATTGGGTAGATGGTTATATTCCAGGTGTTGCAGCCAAAGTCGGTCGGAGTGGAGCCATGCTTGGTTTGTCGTGCCTCAAAACATTGAGAATAAACATATTTATTTATTTATTAGCAAGGCTTCCGATAGCTCCACTTGGATACATCATTGAAGATAAGTTTAATAAGTGATATTTGCTGACAGTAAAGAGCTTTTCCATTACTCGTAGGCATTTTTCCATAAATGAGGATGCATTATTAATGAATGGGTAGGTAAAGCAGTTACAGTTTGGAAACCGTGGCAGTCAATTAAGACATGCTGCTCTGCATGCGTGCACATTTACTGATTCACAAGGGAATTCCCGGTAGAACTTATGCTACTTGCAATCGGTGTAGTAATAAGGGTTTTTCTCTTAAGATATATCATTAACACTGTATATCTAATGATGAATGTGGCGTTTTAGTAAAAGCCTCGTATGTCCATGAATCGTCTATAACCATTGATTTACCGGCGTCCAGCAATACTGTAACTGTGGGTGCGCTGTACAGCAAAAATAATTAATAAAGTAATCCGAATAAGCGTCGTGTGCAATGTAAACTATTTACGTAATGAAAACATCAACAGGGTAATTAATGCAAAAAAATTCCACCGCCATATATATCCGCCCGATGGACGCTTCATTGCAGGTCATGAAATGGGCAGAGGCAAAGGCAGATTTGAGCAACCTTCAGCTGAAATGCGCTTTGGGTGGTCCAACTCGTCGATGGCCTGTGGGATACTTCCGTGCAGTGTTCAAAGGCAATACACCGTTGGATCAAGAAAAAGTCGTTGAGACGTTTGTACATACAAGTGCCACTGAATCAAGCACTTACGATATAGACGGGGCACAATTTCGCTTTCGTAAGTATCATTCGTAGTATGACGCTGCAGAAGCAGTATGCTACGCAG